GGTTGTCATCCTTGCGCCCAAGGAGCATTCTGGCTGTGCTTCCTCCCAGACAGATTTGTGAACGCTCAGAGATTTCCCTCGGAGCCAGAAAACTCACGAGCAAGCAGACCCATCTAGCACATCTCTTCCATTCGGATTTCCTACCTCCCTGCTCCGGTGGATATGGTCTGAGATGGGTGTATCCATGGTCTACCTTTTGTGTGTCTTTCTCTTTTTTGCAATTTGTTGTACATTAAGTGAACTTGTCCCCCAGCAGTTTCATCAGCAAGTAACTTACATATCATATTACTCAGTAGTTCAATCGTATCACAGGGAATTGTACCATCAGCCCCACATCAATTTTAGAGCACTTCCCCCACCCCACATGAATTGCCTTTAAGCTGATTCATGCGATCACAAGTCGTCTAGCACTCCCTCGCCCCTCCTGTCTTCATCAGTTACTCCCCAAATCCCCTCTCTCTCCCTACCTCCCCCCGCCCCCCTGTCCACCCCAGTGTTCCCTATATCCCCTTGCGTTCACTATTATCTTCGTCCCTCCACTCCTCCTGTGCTTCACAGCTGGGCAACCCCACAGAAAACAAAATCGTGCTAAGGTGGTAAGGGCAAAAACATAATCGTATACAGATAAAACCACTAATGACATGTAAGAAGGAGAAGACACCCTACAATAATCAAAACCCAGGGAAGACATTGCCGTCAGGGAGCCAGTAAGAGATACTTGTTCCCAGAACAATTCAGGTCGCATCTATCGCGCCGAGCTCGATCCAGCACAATCAAGATGATAACGGGCTGAGGCTGGTGGAGGCTCTTCAGGGAATGATGTGTAACATTTACATGTTATCATTCATTTATTTGGATGCATAGCTCACCATTTATAGCTATCCTCGTTTTCATTTTCTTGGACTTAGATTCCCTTTGCAATTGCTGGTAAAGTTTCTACAACTACAGTTTGTTCAGGGACGTTGCATGGATGGGAGGCTTTGGACACTGGTGTGTCTGGGAATGTCTTTCTGAGAAGGAGCTGAGATTGGGTTTCAGCCTTCCCCTCTCCTAATGACCCGACACAGATCTGGGGCCTCGCTCACTGAATGCTGTCACTTAATCTAAGGCCCCGGGCGCTCTCTCCCTCGTCCCCGGGAGGGTCTAGGTGGGTGTTTTATTTAAGCTTTCCGATCCCCTGAGCTCTTGGAATCGGACCACGTGAGTCTTTCTTCAGCTCAGAAAAGCTTCCTATGATGTCAGTCCTGACTACCTCTCCTCTGGGAACCCCTATTGGGTGTGTCTACTTCCCGCAGTACTTATTCAGAAAGTGCTCCCGTCCAGTAGTCCTCCACGTCCGCCCTTGTCCTGCAGCTTTCTGTGCCAGCCACGCAGCGTCACCCTGCGTGTTACTGCAGGCTTCCACTTCCTCTTTGAGGCACCGCATCACTCAATGGGGTTTGGGGGTGCTTCATGGACTCAGCCCCCTTCTTCCAAGATGCTCTGCTACTCTCATCAGTTCCACCATGTCTCCCCATCCCTGCATCCTCACCCAGTGCTGCTGCAACACAAATAATCCACGTGGGTAGTTTTAAAGAATGAGAGCAATCCTTCTCACAGTTCAGAAAGTTGCAAGTCCAAGTTCAGGCCATTGGCTGATGGGGAAGATGCTCTTTTATTTTAAAAAAATCCCATTTTATTTCTTTGTTGTCAGGTTTGTTTTTCTTCTGCTTTTGCTTCTGAGACTAGGAGCAGCACCTGCAGGTCTACGTTGGGGTGGGGTGTTCGGTCCTCCAGGGCTTCACGGACCGCTGTCTGAACCCTTGCTGTGAATTGGGGCAGCTCAGGCAGTGATGTCTTTGCACGTAGAGCACCTATGTGCTGATGATACTTGCTTTGGACATTTCCCAAGCCACTGTGCGCCCATAGCCAAGGCCATGAAGACGTCTGTCATTTGAAACTTAGCGTATCTTTCTCCCCGGTGTGACCTGTGCATTTGGACTGTCTCCTCGGTGGTTAGCAGCCCAGCGCCCACGGTGCCATGAGGACCCAGGGACACCTTGCGGCAAGGTTGCAGCACCATCTCTAATAGCTGCTTCTCCTTCTCCCGGCCAGAGAGCCCGGCGGGCTGTGCTACCCCAGGAGGAGGAGGGCTCAGGGGCCGGACAGCCAACACCCGACTTCAACAAGAAGGAAGGTAATCCTGGCTGCCTCTCCCCTCCTCTGCCCTGCATCAGGGAAGGGCCGGCAGTTGGCTTCCCCAGGCTGCCCTTGCCACCATGAAGCCCCCTTCAAACTCACTGCATGGAGTGGATCCTAATCAACTAGACGGGCTAGAACTGCCCCCGTGGGTGTCCACCACTGTGACTCTTTGCAGGGGTAGAAGGAAACTCAACCCCACTGCCAACAAGGCAGATCCAAGCCACAGGGACCTCACAGGTGGTAGTGAGCGGGGCCTCTGTTTTGAGTTGGGCTACAAGGTAAGCAGTTCAAAACCACCAGTTCCTCCATGGGAAGAAAAGGAGGCTTTCTACTCCCGTGGTGAAGAACTAGTCCTGCATGGCCCTATGGGGTCCTATGGGTCGCTAGGCGTTGGACTAGACTCCGTGGCGGTGAGTCGGGCTGCGGGAGGGGCGGAAGGCTTGGGCCCGGGCTCAGGCACACGCAGCTCCACGGTCAGCAGTGAGGGGCCACTCTCTCTCTCCGTCACGGTGGCCTTCTCGCCTGCCTTTCAAGGCCAGGACAGCTGTGCAGACTGAGGCCCTTACAGGAGCAGGGATCCTGGAGGTGAGGTGTGGGCAGGACAGACAGAGACAACCCCTGTCAAAAAGTCTGGACTATCTCATGGGGGGAGTGAGCCAGGGACGTGATGCCCCCAGAAGGGAAGGTCAGCTAGAGGGGCTTCGGACAAAGGGTAGGCAGGTCCCGGTTGGAGGGGGCACTGTGCTGGGTAGGGTTTGGGTTGAGTCGGTTTGGAGGTCTAAGAGCACTAGGGTATGGGGTGAGGAGGCCAGCCTGGCCTGCAAGAGACCAGAGAAGGCGCCACCTGCTCTGATGACAGATTCTCAGGGCCTTCCAAGACCAGCACTGAGGACGGTGGGCCGTGGGTCCCCATGTCATGAAGTAGACTGCCCGTGGCTTTGGGAGTCCGACAGCTAGGGTTTGGAATCTTGGCTCTGTGTGAGCCTGGGCAAATCCCGTCACCTCTCTGTGTCTGCTTCCCCTATGGAAGGTCAGGATAATCCTTCCACAGCGGGTAGGGGAGAACTCAGGATAAGCACATGGTAGGGCCTGGCCTGGGTGTGGAGACGCAGTAAGCACTTGGCACATGCCGCTGGCCTGCCCCTCCCCAGATTCCTGCCAGCTGGCGCCCGCAGCGGGGCCCTGCCTGGGGCTGATCAACAGGTACTTCTACAACACCTCGTCCATGGCCTGCGAGGTCTTCCAGTATGGCGGCTGCCTGGGCAATGGCAACAAGTTTGCCTTGGAGAAGGAGTGTCTGCAGACCTGCCGGACCGTGGGTGAGCACAGGACCCCGCCCCAACCGCCTCGGTGCCCTCTGCCCCGGCCCAACAAGCCCCTCCACTGAGTTAACAGGTAGCCAGGCACAGGTGTGTGAGTGGTGGGATTCCAGGGTTCGTTTCTGGAAACCACAGGAGTCTCACCCTCATGAGGGGTTCCCCATTAGCAAGTCATTTCCTCTTGCTGGGCCTCCGTGTCCCAATCTGGAAGAGAGGGGCAAGGTGTTCTAGTGTGTGGGGCTGGGGGTGAGGGTTGGAGGTGGGGGACTGGCTCAGGCCCTAGCATGTTCCCAGGGAGCAGTCTCCAGGATTACCCAAACTCTGAGCCTCTCTCCCTACCCCTGCAGCGGCCTGCAGCCTCCCCATCATCAGCGGCCCCTGCAGGGCCTCCATGGAGCTCTGGGCATTCGATGCTGCCCAGGGGAAGTGCGTGCTCTTCTCCTACAGCGGTTGCCATGGGAACGGCAACAAGTTCTACTCTGAGAAGGAGTGCAAAGAGTACTGCCGTGGGCCTGGCGGAGACGGTAGGAGGCCATGCAGGGCAGGGGTCAGGTGGCAAGGGTGGGTTCTGGCCTCTGCCCCAGGCCACCGGGCAGCAGTTCGCACTCAGCAAAATCAACACACGAATACTGATAAGGTATTATTATCATTATCAATAATACAAGAAAACACATCAGTTTAGGTAGGCTTCCCACACCTCCGTCTTCCCACTGGGAAAACGGCACCCCAGATGAACCCGGAGAGGAACGGCCAATCCCTCAGTACGGAGGGCTTTCCAGTCCCAGGCTCGGGCCCTTCCTCACCCCAAGTTTCCTTCCCACCTCCGGAGGCAGAGGGATCCCCAAGCCTGAGCCCCGCCCACTCTGGAGCCTCTCTCTGCCCACAGATGAGGAGCTGCTTCGAGTCACCAACTGAGGCAGGCCACGGGCCCGGGGGCCAGCAGTCAACGTCCATGCTGGCACGCCAGGCGGGGACACCGGACTCCAATAAAGAGCTGATGAACCCTGAGTGTACGTGTGCTGACTCTCATGGTCACTGCTGTTGTCATGACTGGGAAGGAGGCTGAAGGGGCCTCGACGTCCCAACCCAATTATCTCCAGTACAACAAGTTCTGGTGGCACAGTCGATTATGAGTTTGCTAACCCCATTTGGTTTGGTAAACGAAAGGATGGTGGTTCGAACTCCCAAGCCTCTCCCCAGGAGAAGGATGAGGCTGTCTGTCCCTGGACCGTAGGGTCTTAGAGTCCAAGTGGACTGGTTGTTTGGGATGTGCAGTACGAGACACCATCACAGTGCTATGCACCCCACAGCATGTGAAACGGGGCAGGTTTGCTTTGTTCGAGCAAAACTGGAAAAGAAGAAAAACCGCTGGCGGCTGGTTTCTGCGAGGTTTCTTGGGCTGTCAGTGACTCAGAGTCCTGGGAAGTCCGTGTGCTCCAGGAGGTACCCATGGGACAAAGATGAGGCTTCTGGAAACCCTATGTGGGGCCACTAAGGGGCCCTGATTGCCTAGTGGCTATGAGTTGGGCTGCTAACCGTAAGGTCAGCAGTTTGAAACCACCAGCTGCTTCTCGGGAGAAAGACAGGATTTTCTACTCCCCCTAAGAGTGACCGCCTCGGAGGCCCCCGGGGCAGTTCCACCCTGTCCTCTAGGGCCTTCTGAGTCAGCACTGACCCGATGGCAGCGAGTCTGGTTTGGTTCTGAAGGGTCCAAACCACCTCGATGGCAGTGGGGCACTTTAGTGTCCAGCGCAGGGCCCACGTCGGCATGGAGTGAAGCCCAGTCCTTTGCTGCCCTGAATCCCTTTCCCACATCACGTGGGCTGTGTTCAAGCCATGTCCCCAAGTACCAGCTGCCGAGAGCTGGAAAGCTTCAGGCTTCCTTTCCACCAACACTTCTTGGCTCGTGGGGGGCCTTCCTCTGCAATAGTGTCCAGCCAGCTGGGGCCGGGGCTGAGCCAGCAGCCCTGGGAATGGCCTGGCTTCTTCCACTCAAGGGAGGGAGTGGACCTGTCGGGAGGGGGGCGGGATAGGGGGGGTGCTCAGGCACTAACTGGGCTCACAGCACACCCCAGGAGCCTCCAGCTTAGATACTGATTTACAAATCCTGGTTTATAAACACGTAGCAGGACCAGCGTGCCTCCATTCTGTGTGTGCATGTGTGTGGGTTGAGGGCTGGGGGTGGGCTGGCTCAGAGGACGCAGAAGCCATGGTGGCCTAGGTGGGCTGTGGCATGAAGCTGCTCAGATAATCAGAATGAGCCAAGGAGGGAGGGCACTGGGCTGACCTGGCCGGCCCCTCAGCTGGCTTCTGCGTTGCCCCTTCCTTCCCAGGGGGTGCGGTCCATTCTTGAGCAGCTTGGACAGTGAATCCAGACACCGAGCAGACATGTTGCCCCTCCTGCCACTACCTCAGTCACAGACGCCATCAGGGGCTTGGCAAAGGCCATAGGTACTCTTCCCGCCACATGGGCAGCCTGAGCCACGTGGCCTGTCACACAGAACACAGTAGGCCGAGGCCCCTGGGTAAGGTGGCCCTGAGGCACATGAATGAGCCCTGAGCAGGGGGCACTTGGGCATAAGCCTTAGGTACTGGGCCTGTAGGACTCGAGCGAACACTCGTACCCGCTTCCGTGGACCTGAGGAGCCAGCCTCCGTGCCCTGGAGGCCTCCGTGGGCATCACACACCAGCTCGGACGGGGGTGGGGGGTGGGGGCGGGCAGCTGCTGCCGGGGAGCAAGAAGGGCTCTCCTGCCAGCTCACAGTCAAGGAGTCAGCGCCCCGATTTCCCACCACCTGCGCCCCTACAGTTCCACCCTGCGCCCAAGAAACACATCCCACGCTGCCATCTTCCTAAAGAGCGTTTTATTGTAAAACCATAAATACAACACTGACAGGAAACCATGTACGCGACAGCCTCTGACTGGGAGAAGGACGTCGGTCTGCCTTGGCGTCAGCCAACTGGGGAGCCGTGCTGCAAGAATTCAGGGGCTGGGGTGGAGTCCTGAATTCTGGGCCGGGGCTTTTGGCGACTTCCAGGAATCGGGTAGAACCTTCTTCTTCTTGGGAGGGGGGGTGGGGGACGCCCCGCTTTCAGACACAGGACAGACAGGTAAAAAACAGCAACATTTAAACAGCTCAGCTTCCATTGGTCTCGCTTTGTAAAAATCTTTTTTCACTTTTTCTTTCCCCGTTCCTTTCTTCCATTTGATGTCAGCAAACGGTCGGAAACGTCATGAAACCGATTTGGCTGCCAATGGAGAAACGGCACCCAAACGAAGAGAAACAGACAAACGGCAGACAGACAGAAACCCCTCCCTAAGCCCTCGAGTTGGGTCTCGGGGGTTGACATTTGTCACAGCACCGTCAACTCAACCCCCATGCAAGTGGACTCCCTGGAGAGGCGCTGGGTGTGTGCCAACCAAACGAGACTCCGAGCAACGTTGTCTGACCATGAACACAGCAAGTGGGACACTAGGTTAACTTTTTTTTAATACAGTACACGGTACACAGGGTCCCCGAGATGGCCCTGCATGAACCCCTCGTGAAGACTTTAGCCAAGCACTGGCTGTTTATAAAAATATTGTGTTGCTACAAAAGTATAAATTAATGCTACCGGTATTAAGAAATATTAAACACATAAAACTTAGAAGGATTAAGAAAAATATTCATTAATACCTGTAGAAAACTCTGGCCTAAAAAAGATATTTTTTTGTGTGTGTTTGTTTTTTTGTAAATTTTTTTTGTTTTTTGTCATTTTTCTAAGATGACTTGTGAATTTCTCGCACTCGCAGACACAGGCGTGTCTATGGTATTGCCTAGAACGTCTGAACTACTGAGAAAGGGTGGGGGGCACACAGGGGTTACTGAGTGGGGGGCGGTGAGTGGGGTACCAAGGCTTCCTCAAGATTTACCTGATGTGAACGAATCACCGACATGAACTTGCAGGTTAAAGAAAAAGGATCGGAAAACAACTGAAAATAATTTACGCTTCTTAAAAAATATCTCTGCTTCTTCGGGTGGTTGTACAAAATGGGTTCCTGATGGTTGGGATCAAATGGCCTTGCCTGCAGTCTGACAGCCTGGCCCCCAGGTGGCGAGTCTCAGCTCCAGAGCAGTGTCCAGGCTCAGGGCCAGGGGACCCAGCCCCCTGGTGGGGTGCCGGGAAGATGGGCGAGACGTGGCCTCTGGCGTGTCTCAGGTCCCGGAGGCCCAGCCACCCTGGGTTGCAGGAACCCCACGAGAATCCCAGGACCCTGAGGTTGCAAACAAGGATGGGCCGCGCCCCTTTAAGGAACTTTGGTTCTAAGAGTGAAGGTGTCCAGTGGGGGTGGGGGCCTCACCCGCGTGGCAGGGGGAGGACCCACATGGGCGGCGCTACTGATGCCCAACGGCAGAGCCACCAGGCCCTCCTCCGAGGGGTGGGATCTTCAAGGTGACACCTGCAGTACAGGAGGGGCACAGAAGGGACATCACTACTCTCACTGCTGAGACAGCGGAGCAGATGCCTTCTTCTCCGGAAAGCCAGGGCTCTGCTGACCATAAGCCTCAAACCACAAGGGGGCAGGGCAACAACCACCCCGCTGCCCCCTAGAAACCGGAAAGCCAGAGATCTTAGGGAGGAAAAACACTGTATCATTGGTTCACCATAACTGGCCTAGCGAACATGAGCCACAGTGAAGGAGAGGGAAGGTCCCACCCAGGCCCCCCTGAGCTCCCGCTTGATGCAGGGGCTGGGCAGCAGGGCTAGGGGCTCCCCATCCAGCTTCCTGGGGAACAGGCTGAGCCTTACCCCTTCGGTTCCGTCCAATGCCTTTTGAAGAGCCCCTCCTCCTTCAGATACATCTCAGAGGTGGAGGTGTGGCACCATGGGCCTGGGCGGCACCAGACTGGTGAGGCAGTTCAACGGGGCATGGGGAGGCTGGCTGTTCTGGTTTAGGGAGCTCCTCTTCCTGTCTCTTCAAGTGTCAACCGCGGGTGACCATTCAGGCCACCTCACGGGGACTGTCTCCATCGGCTCCGCCTCCCTTCCGGCTTCTTGTGAGAACCCCGAAGAGCACATGCTGTATCCCTGACACCCCTGGAGTACTGACTTTCCAGGCGTCCTGCACCAAGTCCAGTGGGGAGCAGATACTCCCTACATCCGAGGAGGTCTGGCTTCGCAGTGGAACACCTGCTCTCCGGTGCTCCCTGGGTGCTCCCTGGAAATTCGGGAGACAACCGGGTGGCCATGTGACATACCTGATACCCAGAACAAGTGCTTTTGGGTGTCCCGGAAACCTGTCACCTCTCATCTGTGACACAGGGCTGCCCTCTCTCAGGGTCTGGAAGCCACGGCTCCCATTCCCAACCAACCACAGCTGCCAAGCAAGTCACACGGGGCAGTGGCCACGCTCTCCCGGGACGGGCACAGCAGGTGACGAGTGGCGCTGTGAGTCTCCCAGAGATGAGGTGCAGGCAGAAGGACCTTTAACTGGGCATGGTCCCTGTTCGGCTTCTGGAGGCCCGAGTGTGGACCCAGGCAGATGGGGTGATGAGAGGTCACTCCTGGTGTCGCAGAGGAACACCGTGACCCTTGACCTGGGCATTACGGAAGCCCCGTGACCGCGGAGGGGAGCAGCTTCCTCCCCTCTTCCTCTCTGGGGTCCAGAGATGTCAAGACACAGGCCACCGCCGTGCTGGCAATCCTGAGACGCCTGCTGAGCCGTGTCCAAGTTGTCAGGAACGACTGGATGGGTGCAGCCTCCCGGCCTCCCAGCCACGAGGACCCTGTCGTGGCCACAGAGCTGGGAGGCCAGCAGGGAATTCGTGCACCAAGTCAAGGGCAGGCTGGATGCTGAGAGAAGAGCCGCATGAGTCCCTCAATCGGCTGGCTGAACTGGCATTTCAAGAAGGTGGATATTGCTGGAGATAAGGGGCCTGGTGGCTGGACCTGGCTTTTGGTTTTCATCAAGCTGTTGGCTGAGGCAGGATTTGCACGAATAGGAACGGATGGGCACAGGGGGAAAGCAGCCTTGTGGGGGACACCAGTATCTGGGAGACCAGGGGGCAAGATGGAAGCAGCCACCTGCCACCCTGCCGTCTGGTGGGGGGTGGGGGGTGGCCGAGGAGTCAGTAGCATTCACATCAAACCATCATGCCAAGTACTGGACTGAGCTGGGAGGAGGGCGGGACTGAGGTGACAGCATGTGGCCAGACCCCTCGAGCTGAACAAGACCTTTTCTGTCCGACAGTCTCTGTGGACGGCAGACACCCTGGTGCTCCGGGGAGGACAATGTGGGGACTCAGGCAGCCTTGTCAGGAAGGGGAATGCTCAACTGTTCCCTCTCGAACTGGCTCAGGGACGGGAGCCACCGCACAGCGCCACTCGGAGCAAGACAAGCCTCTGTTCCCAGAGACTCATGCAGAAGGCAGCGCCTGTCCTCCTTGTGCGGCCCAAGTGAATGCCAAGGGGGGACGTGCTGATCGGGGTGTGTGTCGATCGCCAAGAGCCCTCCTGCCGCTTCTGGAATGCCCTGGAGGGGTCGTCCCCAGTCTGCAGGTGCTCCCCTTCTTTGGAAAGCGGCATGAGGCTAATATCCAGGTCTCTCCTCTTTCCTGTCCCCGCGCCAACAACGGAGGCTCTTCAGGGGGCACAGCCAGCTGGAAACATGGTGGAGGAAACGACCTGGGACTTCTTCGGAGAGGGCTTGGCGTGGCGATTCCTGAGACCGTAGCTTGCTGGAGCGGATCTGGAAAGGGCCCACTGTGACCCATTTTTCTTTCACGATGTCCCAGGCTTGGGAAGGAGAGCCGGTTAAGTTCTCATGAGACACAGTGTGCAGGCTTCGGCGCCAGGGGCTGTGCTCTGGGCCCAGGCTGAGCCTCCTTGATGCGCAGCCGTCTCCACAGCCCCTGCCAGGTCCCTGGTGGGGAGGGGCGGTTATACAGTGCGGTGTGTCGTTGAGGTATCTTGCAGTTGTGTAATGCTTTATTACTGGGAGGGATGGAGGCGCCAGAGCCGATTCCCAGGATGACAGGATGTGCTGTTGCAAGGAGCCCCCCACTCACCCCCCCACCTGGTGGCCGTTCTCAGATGATGGGCTTCGCAAGGACATACCCATGTCCAGCCCACAGCCCCAGTCACAGGAGCGCGAGGACCACCGGCACTACATTCACTGACGAGGGGTGGGGAGCCGAGCACTGATTCTGGGGGCACCGATGCGGTAGATGTACCAGTGCTCGGGAATGGGGCAGCAGGAGAGTCTGGACGCACTTTTCACAGCATCAAGCAGGGTTGAACGCCATGCCGCCCTTAGGACCATCAGCTGCTTGGCCCAAGGCACCGTGCTCAACGACTGTCCCTAAAAAGGGGGGCCTGAGGCTCATGGAGGGTCCCCCCAGGGCTGTGGGCTACGGTACCACTTGACTCCCTGGAGTCCCATGAGTCGGGAGGGGAGGCTGTTGCATCTGAGGTGTGACGGACATGACTAGGGATGGACGCCGGAGTCCCTGTGGAGTGGGAGGATCAGTGAGGTGGCGAGTGGTGTGGGGCACGCTGGGTATAGAGATCAGACATGTGCAGAACCAGACACAGCTGACCGGGAGGGCAGGCCTTCCACTTCCACTCAAGAGGATAAGCCACCAGGTGTCCCAGTGGAGTCTGCTGCCACCTCCACCCCCCACCCCCACCCCCAGCCTCCCAAACAGCGCAGCCGACTTCTTGGTCCAGGCTGGGGGATGCACGGAAACTCTAGGCCAGTTGGGAAAGCGCAGTGAAGACTGCAGGACGGGGGGTATACCACTGAGATGAGCTCGTTTACAGTGTGATTTGAAACACAAAAAGGCCGATTTCATAAAAAGACTCCAAAAACATAAGTTATAGACATTCAGTGCCTCCTAGCAGAGTCTAAATAAAACTTAAGAAACAAACAAACAAAAAAGGGTAGGACTTCCTAAAATGTTAAGAGGGGGGAGAAATCACGAAGGAGTGGAGACGATACCTATCCTTCTCTGAAAAACGTCCTCTTGTTTTTCTATCTTATATTAAAACGCAAAAAGTCAGCTTCATAGTCTTAAAGTCTCCTTTTCCTGATTTGGGGTGATAGATAGGTGTGTTTCTAAGGCGGCCGCCCAGGCACCCCTGAGGGAGGTCACGGAGGCAGCAGCTCAATGCCCTGAAGGTGCACGAGAAGCAAAGTCCAGTGCAGAAACTGTCCGTCTGATGCCGTCTGGAGAGTCGGTCCATGGCGGGGCAGCCGGGGTGGGGTGGGGGGCGGTGATGACCGAGAACGTCATGTCACTTCAGATCACAGCTGCCTGGACATCTTACAACATCAGCTTCCTACCCATCTGCACACCTGAGAGCGGAGTCTTTGAAAGCCCCCGGATGCAGAAAAAGACGCGGAGGCGTCTCCCTCTTCCCCACACACGCGGCTTTCCTGACAGACCCAGCTTAATGCCCATGTGCCCACTGCCAGGCACGTGTGCATGCACCAGGGTCATGTGCGCACGCGCACACGCATGCACGCGTGCACGCACACACGCAAGGAGCGAGCCCCTGTGACCACAGAGGGTGAGCGCAGAGCCCCCCATTCCCCGCACACCCATGGCTGGGTGTGAGCACACATGCACACACACGAGGAAAAGCACTTAAAGTCTCCAGGGGGCATTGATAATGAGGTCCACAGTGTTTAGAACTTAAATTCCTTTTTCTTGGTTTGTGACAGTGTTGTGTGTTTTTTTGTTTTATATTTTTCCCTAACGTTCTCTTCTTTGTTCCTGTCTCCCTCCTTTGTCTGTTACAGCCGCGTCTTAAAGCATGTTGGATTTCAGGAACATGAGTTTGTTCATGTCTTCCGGGCTCAGCAGGCGCCGCCTCTTGATGAGAAGCGCCTGCTCGCACATGCTGACGCACCCGCTGCGGGCGCCCACGGCCGGGACTGCCAGCAGCCAGAAGGCAAGCTTGGCGAGTTTCGTGTGCTTCTGGGTCACGCACGACCAGTACTGGAAGAGATCGGGGGTGGCCTGGAAGAGGGGCTCCTGCAGGTAATCATAGACCTCGTTCTTCCCCAGCCGGTCATCCTCCTGCGAGGCCGGGTTCTCACCTGGGGCCGAGCGGGGCTTCTTGGCGCCGGGCTCGAAGTCGGGGTCCTCGGCCCACGACTCCTTCACCTCGTTGATGAGCTCACAGACCTTGCCGATGATCTCCTCGTGCTGGTAGGGCGGGACGGGCCGCAGTTTCTGCTGCGGGTCCAGGATCATGGCTACCTTGTGTGCCGGGTGCACCTTGAAGTTCTCCTTGAGCGCCTCCAGGAAGAGGTGGCAGAGCTTGCTGACGGTGCCCGCGTCGTTGGCCTTGGCCGTGAAGAGCTTCTCCAGCCGGACGTAGGTGGGCAGCACCAACTGCAGGGTGGGCTGGCTCTCACTGCTCAGCTCGATGACCGCCTGCTTCACGGGCGTCAGGATGGCAGCCAGGTTGCTGAGCAGGTGCTTGTTGAGGCTCTGGATGAGGTTCATCTTCTTGGCCCGGCTGTAGAACTCGCAGATCTGCTCATAGCGCTCGTGCACCAGCAGCAGCGAGTCCGTCACCGAGTTCCAGCAGGGGGGTGGGGCGGTCTCCTCCAGCGACCCGAAGGTCTCCTTGGCGAGGCCGGTGGAGCCCGCCAGGTCCTCACACACGCTGAGCAGCTCGATGACCTCGTGCATGCTGCGGGCCTGCAGTGTCCGCTTGCTCAGCACGCTCTGCACCACCGAGTTCAGGGCGCAGGCTGAGCAGCGCAGGCACATGCCGGCCTTGGAGAAGGCAGATGCGCTCACCCGGCAGTCCGTCACGTACACCGTCCTGATCTCTGACATCACAAACTCGGAGAGCACGTTCTGCACCCAGTGGTGCACCAGGTCGCCGCCGTCACGCACGTCCGCACCCTTCACACCCAACACGTAGCTCTTGATGTGGTTGCCCTCGGCCTGGTAGGCGGTCAGGATGTAGCAGGAGTCGGGGCCCACGCTCTGAGAGTGGCAGGTGACGCCGATGCCCAGGCAGGCGTTGCTGCCCAGGGCACATGTCACCTTCACCTTGACCTGGTTGTACATGCGCGGCAGGTGCTTCAGCGCTAGCGTGTTGAAGTTGCCCAGGATCTCGGTGACGGAGAAGGCCCCGTAGCGGGCCCCGCTGTCCACCAAGGTCTGGGCCAGCTTCAGGAACTCCTTCCCGCTCACCACGCTCAGCGCCCCCAGGTCGGCGCACATGACCCGCAGCAGCCGCTCCGCAATGTTCTGCCGCTCCTTCTCGGGGATCATGCTGTTGTTGGAGGTCAAACCACTCACCGTGGCTGGTGGGGGACACAGAGAGACACGATTAATCCTGCCCACGGAGCCTCCTTGGTCCGGCTGCAGCCTGATCCTCTGAGTCCCGGGATGAGGAAATAACAAACAGATGGTGGTACTGGCTGCCTTTAATATGTGGCCATTGCAGAGAATAAATCTATGGCTGCTTAATCATGCCTGCATGGTCCCGGGAATAAAATATAATGACGTGTGCAATATACCTGCTTTATCAGCCTTCTTTACCTGTATCTTTGAGGCCAACTAGTCCAACACCTTCCTCAATATGGAAACTGCCTCTACAAACACCTCCAGGACAGTCCCACCCACAGGCTCACAGTGAGAGTCGAGGATAAAGCCAACAGCTACTGCAGACAGGCAGATTCTAGTTTGGGGTGGTCATTCATTTGTGCTTTCTGATTTGTCACCTTCCTCTCCCTCTTCCCCTGAGTCTCCCCTGGCCCATCCTGTGATTTAATAACTTCTGAATATGGTGCCTTAGATGTACATAATTGTGCTTTTGAACCTGTTATGTGTTATGGAAGTCCAGACGGTGGGGATGGGTGGGGGCAGAGGGGACAAAACTGGAAGCCCCACGGGGTCCCAACAGACCACCAGGGTTCCACCCATCCCTGGGAGAAGACCTACTATTATTGGCACTGTTCCTCTGGGGTTGGGGCTTCCACTTCTCTTCCACGACAGCAGATGGTGATCGAGACTGGTTGGAGGCGATGTTGTTCTCATTGTCAGCTGTGGGCACAAAGGGAAGGAATGTTTGTTACCTTGAGGTGTGAGAGACTTGCTTACTAAGAAGGTGAAAAATAGAGCATGAGAGCTAAAAGCAAAATATGGCTTCTGGGAGCCAGGCCTGGGGTCAAACTCTTGTTCCGCTTTAGACAACTCTGTTATATCTGTAAGGTCTCCTTCACATCCTTTGGAAAAGTGAAAATGATCATACAGAAATGACCTAAAGTGGGGACCTCCCAGTCTTTGCTGTGTTCTAATCTGTATCAACATGGCCTGGTGGTGTAGTGGTTACGTGTTGGGCTGCAACCCTCAATGTTGGCAGTTTGAGACCACCAGCAGCCCTGCAGGTGAAACGCGGGCTTTCTACTCCCGGCAAGTCACAGATTTGGAAACCCACCGCGGGCCCTGACTGGATGGTGGCAGCAAGTTTGTTTCTGAGTTGGATTGTGTATGTATGGGGAGAAATCCCACAAGGCTGATGGAAAGAAAACACTCTACAAGTTAGAAATTATAAAAATATGGTCAAGTATGAGGAAAAACAACAATAGAACAAAATGAAACAAAAACAAGCTAAGTGGAACTTCTAGAGGTAAAAATAAAGTCCATAGGAAAAACAACACTGGGGTAAGGCTCAATGGCGCAGAAGAGAGCATTTGTGAACATCCTTGTTCTCACTGCTGCACAGGGCGAGAGAGGAGAGCACGATGGGAGACAGAGTGAAGACTGGAAGTGAACGAGAAGAGCGGGCAATATCGAGCAGACTGGAATTTCAGGGCCAGAAATGTAGTTGAAGAAATCATCAACAAAAACTTAATGAAAACCATAAGCTCACAGATGAAAAAGTTTAATAAACTTCAAGCAATAATACACTGAACAAAGCACGATCACTCTGTTGTGATCAAATTGATGAAAACGAATTGAAAGACACTCTTATAAATAACCAGAGGAATGAATGGATTACAGTATGCACAAATCAACAGAAATGAGAACGACAACATACTTCCTGCCCGACGCTGTGCAAACCAGAAAGCACTGGAACAAGCAGCAAAAGAAAATGTCAACCTAGAATTCTGGCCCTAGTGATAATACCTCTCACAAGTGAGTATCGAATGAAAGACTTTGGGGCCAAACAAAACCAAATACTTACTATAAGAAATGTTATGGGGAAATTCTTCAGGCTCAAGAAAAGTGTTACCAGATAAAAGTCTGGATCTACAAATAGGAACAAAGAGTACTACAAATATACATAAGACAACCAAAAAACTCCCCTACACATTTTATCTCTCTGAAATATAAATGACTGTTCCCTGAAGAAAATACTTTACAGTGGTAAATACGTAAGAAAAATGAATGATAGCAACAGTGTAACAAGACACAAAGAGGGCTTCAAAGAGTTTGGTATAAAATGTATACTAACAAAATGGGTGCCTAAGCAGATGTGGTGAAGACAGAAGATGGTGCCTGGCTACTAAAAGATATAGTGTCATATATTTATAGGTTTAGTATTAAGGTACCAGAAGGACATTGGGCCTCCACTCAAGTACTCCCTCAATGCAAGGATACTTTCTTCTATTAAATTGGCATTCTAGGATGCTCACCTTCCCGACCCAACCGCTGAAGACAAAGCAGGTGAATAAGCAAATGTGGTGAAGAAAGCTGATGGTGCCCGGCTATCAAAAGATATAGCGTCTGGGGTCTTAAAAGCTTCAAAGTAAATAAGCGGCCATCTAGCTTAGAAGCAACAAAGCCCGCATGGAAGAACACACCAGCCTGTGTAATCACGAGGTGCCAAAGGGGTCAGTTATCGGGCATCAAAGAACAAAAAATCATATTGTGTCCTCACCTCCATGACACGATCACTGAAGACAAATGGGTGCATAAGTAAATGTGGCGAAGAAAGCTGATGATGCCCGGCTATCAAAAGGTATAGTGTCTGGGGTCTTAAAGGTAAATAAGCGGCCATCTAGCTCAGAACCAACAAAGCCCACATGGAAGAAGCACACCAGGCAGTTCGATCGCGAGGTGCCATCGAGACCGGGCAACAAGCATCAGAAGATTCACAACAAACAGTAAACAAACAAACAAAAATGCATTGGTGAGAATGGAGGGGGGTTGGAGAGGAGATCCAAAGCCCATTTATGGACAATGACCCACAGAGGGGTCACAGGGAGGGGGTGAGTCAATCAGGGTGCAGTAGAGCACTAATGGGTCACACAATATACCTGTTTCCTATAGGCCTCCTCACGCCTGCTATCACAACCTCAGTGCCACCTCCCAATCTAGACTAGACAGGAGCATGTACATAGGTCCAAGCAAGAGATAAAACTCACAACACATGGAACCCAGGAACAGGAATGGGACTAGTGATACTAAAAGGGTGGGTAGGGGGATATGGGGGAGGAGTGGGGAGGGAGGGAGCATTGATCGCAATGAATAGCATATAACCACACACCCCCAGCCAGGGGGAAGAGCAACAGAAACCAGAGGGGAAGGAAGACGGCTGTTGGAGTGAAATTTGAAAATAATTAACAATCTACAATCTATCAGGGGGCCACGAGGGATAGGGGTGGGGGGTGGGAGGAGGGAGGGGGGGAAAAGGAGGAGCTGATCCCAAGGGCTCAATGGAAAGTAAACGTCTAGAAAAGAACGATGGAATATCTGTACGGATATGTAGGATACGATTGCTATATGGTTTGTAACAAGAGTTGTAAAAGCCCCCAATAAAATGGAAAAAATACATACATATAAAAAATGTACATTAAAAGACAATGGATTTTTTCCATGAAATTTTTGGAGCTCCTGTGTATACTTTTGGAAGGTTCTGACACAATTTAAAAAGTGGTCTAATATTTGAAGGCAGACTATGGAAAATTATATATATATATATATTCACACACACTATATATATGTATATATACACTGTATATATACACACTATAGATATATAGTGTAAATTCTAACTAGACCTAAAAACTAAAATAAAGAGTTACAGCTAGTCAGTTGATTATGGAGAGAAAATATGAGTCATAAAAACAATTCTCAATCCAACAGACAGGGACTTTTTATAAAAATCAACAAAGAATGAAGAAAACAATGAGGAATCAAATAGCAAGAAAACAGAATGAAATCCAGTACCTCTGATCATTACATTACCTGTAAATGGTCTGAAATTCCCAATAAGAATAGGATTGTCATACAAAAAGTTTTTAAAAGCCTGACTTAATAACATTCTGTGTATAATAAACTTCCTCAAATATAAAGACAGATTAAGAAAAATCTAACCAAACTTGCTGCTATAGAATCATTTCCCACTCAGAGTGATCTTTAGAACAAGTAGAACTGTCCCTGTGTATCTTGAAGAATATAAATCTTTATGGGAGTAGAAAGTGAATTCATCTTTCTTCCAGAAAGCAACTGGTAGTTTTGAACTGTTGACCTTGCAGTTAGCAGCCCAACCTAACTTATTATGTAACCATGGCTCCTACAGCCATGTTAAATTAAAATAAAGATATCATGGAAACAGTCATGAAAAGAAAGGATATGATATCACATATAAAAATAAACGTCAGAACAAGGAAGGACTATTATCAGAGATAAGAATAATGCATAATGCTAGCACTCATAATGGTGACGTGATAAGATCCAACACCCATTTATGAAACAACTCCCAGATTAAATTCCCAAGGAAATAAAAATTAATACTACATGTATACTATATGGTAACAGAGCTTCAAAAACCACAAAGCAAAAACTAACAGAACTTAGAATGGAGCCGACTTGAGGGCACGAACAACAACAGTATCATGCAGTCCAACACACACTTTACTAGAATAAACACAGACTGGAGGTAGAAAAGTTAAGTATTTGAAGAAATGATGATTCAAAATTTTCTACAGTAGATCAAACAAATGAGGAAGGAAATACAATAGAAGTCTCACATAATACCATCATCCAACTCGGTCCTTGGCCTACCCTACATTTAGAGTCAGCGCAGTAAGAACACGCTCTTTGCAAGTGCACACACAATGTCTGCCAAGTTATATGTGGCTGTAAAATGAGTCTTCATAACTCTAAAAAGAGTAAAATAATACAAAGTATGTTCTCCCTCATTAAATTAGAAATCAAACCCACTTTATAGAAAATGGTTCATTATTGTTCTGATATCATGTACCTTAATAAAACATAGTAATAAAAATATATTTGAAAAAAATCTTAACTATTTGAAAATTACACATCCAAGGGATATTAGGCAATATTTTGTACTAAAAGAAAATACAAGCTCACAAGAGATGTAAGATCAATTTAATTCAAGGCTCATTTACATTATCGTGGTAGATGGTCTTACATCAACTTAAATTTCTAATGAGAGTGTAGGGGTGGAGCTCAGGATGTGATCAAGGTCAAGCCTCGCCTCCTGACACCCCCTTGGGAGTGTGGCCTTCTTAGAAGAGAGGAAACTGGGATCTCTCTCTCTCTTCACAGAAGACATAAATACGCAAGAAAGATAGGTGACAAAACGCAACACCCACTCAGGAAGCAAATTCTTAGCAACCAATAAAGAAAAAGAAAATTCCTCAACCAGAGAAAGGACCATGATTTTAAAAATCTATGTTTACAAAAATAAAAGGATGATAAGAAAATAGGATGAACAATAATTTATCAACACATTAGATAGTCTAGATGAAATGGAACAAAATCCCTAAAAAGATATAAACTACTGAAACTGATTTAAGAAAAAAAGGAAAGAACAAAACCGCAACAGACCTATGATAAAGAGACTAAATAAATAATAAAAAACACTCCCATCCACAGGGGTGTGTGTAAAGGAGAGATACGGATCAGGCTTAATGGCTTCACTGGTGAATTCTACATTTGTTGAAAGAAGAACCCAAACTAATCTTTCACAAACTCTTGTAAAAATGGAAGGCAGGAGACAGTTCTCATTTTGTAAGGCTAGTATACTCCTGATAACCAAACCAGACAAAAGCTCTCACAAGAAAACTGCAACCCAATAGCTCCAATGACTATAAAGATCCAGCAACATGTCCCACTAATAAAAAGACAATCCCACTGAAAACGAGCGAAGGATCTGAGTAGACGTTTTCCCAGATACTCCGTTGGCCCAGAAGCTTATGAAAGGAAGCCCAACATCCGTGGCTAAGGAAATGCCACTCAAAGACACTAAGAGACACCACTCCATAGCCAGTAAGTAGGCTGGCAACAATGAAAAAGACGGTAACAAGCGCTGGTGAGGATATGGAATAATTAGAACCCTTCCACACTGTTGGTGGCGAAGCAAAAATGGTGCTTTGGAAAACAGCCCGATAGTTCCTCAAATGTTTAGCACAAAGCTATCTAATGAGCCAGTCATTCCACCCCAAGGCGCTTACTCAAGAGAAAGGGAACATATGTCTACTCAGGGGAGTCACGCCTATGATAATGGTGGTGGAAGACTTGGACGAGGACAGCGAGAAGGGTGTGCCACTGGAAGAGCGTTGTCCACGTCAATGAACTGTCCACGCAGAAGCAGCTGTGGAGATGGAGTATTTTTTTCCATTCATATTTTCGTCAAAATAAAATATAATAGAGGAAACCAATGTCCACACCCTTGCACTTGATGGTCATGGCGGTTTTATTCATAAGAGCCCCAAACTGGGGACAACAAACCAGTTGTTTATCACTTGGTGGATGGATACACAGATTGTGGTATGTTTGTACCAGGGAACACTACTCAGCAATAAACAGGAACTACTGGTAGGTTTTGAAATAACATGCACGAATCTCAGAGGCATGCAAAGTGAAAGAACTGAGACACAATGGCTAAGCTCACGAATTCCATCTGTGTAAGATTCCAGCCGAGGGACTATGCATTGAGAGAAACAGAGTGCCTGTCCCGGTGGCAATGAAGAGCCTGGCTGGGAGGGGCATGAAGGAGATTTCTGGGTGGTGGGTGATGATACACATTTGAATGATGGTGAACTGACTGTCTACACTTGTCAAAACCGATCACCGTGTACTTCAATTTAGTAAATGATGTCTCAGTAAATCTGATTTTCTACACAGTGGAAAGAAGCCTCTTAATATAGCAACAGAATGGAGTGAGATGGTGGCTGATCTTTCATTTTCTAACGCCTCTGCACTTCCCACTTCCTTTAGTGAACAGAACTTCCTTTTAAAGAGGAAAACAAAACAAAACAAAAAGCTTCAAAAAACAAGCACCTTTCTTGTGAACTTTCTCCACCCCGGAGTTCAGGTTGCTGTAGGCCGTGGACTTGAACCAGGCTCTGCCATGGCTGTGGGGAGTGTCCGTCACTTCAACGCGCCGGGCCTGCCTCACCTCCTCCCTCCAGAATTCGGGGGCTGGTGAGCCCCGTTCTCTGCCCTTCCACAGACTTGGGACCAAGATGACTGCATGGCTGCTTAGAATGTCCTCTATAACCGCACAGAAGGGCGCTGGTGACACAGTAGGTGACGTGGTGCACTACTAACTGGAAGGTGAATGGTCAGCCTTGGAAAACCTCCTGGGAAATCCTACAGGGTCACCGGAAGTGAGATCGGAATTCTTCCCAAAGTCCAGAGCCCTAGGGACACTCTGGGATAAGCACTGGGCTGCCAACCACCAAGTTGGTGGTTCAAATTCAACCAGCTACTGTGTGGGAGAAAGATGAGGCTGTCTGATTCCGAAGACTCACATTCTAAGAAACCCGACAAAGGGTTGTGGTGAGTTGGAATCGATTGATGGCAAGTCGATTGGGTTGAGTTGGGTTTGGGCGCTGAAACTCAGGTTACTGGATATGGGTCTCTGTGTACCAGCAGACTCTGACATCGAGTTGGTTCCGACCCTACAGAACAGGGGAGAACGGCCCCTTTTGGGTTTCCAAGATTTCCAATCTTTTATGGGAGTTGACATAGCTTCATTTTTCTTCTGTGAAATAGCTGGTGTATTCGAACTGTTAACAGCTTTGAGCGTAGCCCACTACGCGACCGGGGCCCCTTCACACAGCAGGGGGTGCAGAGGGTGGGTGCACAGCTGGAGTAAAGGTGGTCTTTCAGAGAGAGATCAACTCAGGCTGGGGGAGGCCTCCGTCCTGGGTCTTAGAACATGCCATGGCCCTCCACACCTGACATGTCATCTCCCAAACCCTCCCCCAGCTCTGCGACTTTACCACCTTACCAATAAGACTTGACCTCCAGAGAAGGGAGGTGGCTCACAGGGATCAGAAACCAAAGGGTCGGCCACCACCCAAATCCTAAAACTGTGAATGGCCAGCGGCTGGCTGCCTGGGAACCCAACGGTGGGGCAGGGAAGGCCGGAGGTGCTGCCCGTTCTGTTAGTGCCTGGGTTGCCACAGGGAGTATTTCCACCACACAGGCTCTAGAGTTCTGAGTGCAGGTTGAAATCCTGACTGTGCCAGCCAGGTGTGATGGCACCGCCTCCAGCAAGTCCCTTCACCACGTTGTGCCTCCAGGTGTGGACGCTTCACTGCAGGGAGGCCCCGAGAAGCCGCCGAGTGAATACAGGGGGGCCTTAGAGCAGTGGTTCTCAACCTTCCTCAGGCTGTGTCCTTTCACACGGTTCCTCATGGGGTCGTGACCCCCCCCCCCAAACATAAAATTATTTTCGTTGCTACTTCATCTCTGTCATTTTGCTACTGTTATGAATCGGGTGACCACTGTGAAAGTGTCATTCGACCCCCAAAGGGGTGGAGACCCACAGATTAAGAACCGCTGTCTTAGCATCAGAGCCCGCACGATACTAGATTATTTCCACCAGCTGTGTGTGGACCGGTGAGCATGTTCTCTGAGCCTCGGTTTATCCACCTGTATAATGGAGAGGCACTCGCCAGCCCAGACAGCTGTGTCGGGAAGCTCTGATGCAGTCAGTTACGGGAAGCGTCAGGGAGACTCCTGGCGTGCTGTCAACACTCACTATTGAGCTGTTTATAGCATCGCTCCTGCCAACACCCCCTGAGCTGTCAGCAGGGACACAGCAGGCTCTCCCAGGGAAGAGAAAGGGAGTTTATTAGCGGGAATTAGCCCGCGCCGTTCAGCAGCCCCTTAATGAGATTGGTGTTAGTCGAGGCTGATCCTCCTTATCAGCCGCGCTATGAACTGCGCAGATCATGACGCTTAATTTCTCTCTATAGAGGCAATCCTTTAATCCCGATTCAGGCTGCCTGGGATTTGGACTGCTTCGCACCGGAGTGCTGGGAGCATTCTCCGGCAGCACTGGACCAGAACAAAGCACCTCAGGGAAGCAAGCCTTGGGAGAGGGAGAGGTAGGGCCACAGCAGGGCACGCCCAGCCTCCATCTACAGCCTCCTAATTGAGTGCAGAAGCACCCACCTGCTTCCAGGGCCCCGCTCCTTAACTCAATGCCTGACACCAGAGCAAAAGTGCCCCGCTGGGTTTCTGAGGCTGTCCATCTTCATGGAAGCTGACAGCGCCATCTTTCTCCCGTGGAGGGCTGGTGGGTTAGGACCCCAACCTTGTGCTTAGCAGTCCCTTGCTTAACCCACAGCACCACCAGCGCACCTTGGAATTAGTGTCTAGCATACAGAAAATACCCCGTGCACTTAGAACCGAAGGAATGGCAGGAATGGCAGGAGAACAGACTAGTGTCCGCCCGGCCGGCCACCCCTACAGAGCTGTCCCAGCAGCACGCATCTCTGTGGGTCCCTCACCTGCATGGGACTGCATGTGCTCCAGGAGGTTGTTGTAGAACTGGAACTGGATGCCGCAGGCACCACACGTGTAGGGCTCTGCGGGAGAAGTGAGGCAGTCAGGTCAGGGGCAGAGCAGACCTGGACGTCCCTGCTGGCCTGAGGCAATGTGGCCTAGGTCCCTGTCCTTGGGGCTTAAGGCCTAGCCTGTCTGCCTCCCTGTCCGTAAATCAGCCACGGTGAGGCTGGCGAAGGCAGGAAGGATGGAGACAGACAGGAAGACAGGCAGGCCATCTGGTCCACCAGGCAGGTATTTATTAAGCGCTTACTGTGTGCCAGGCATTGTGTGGTCCCTGGATGAGGGGCCGAGGGGAGACATGCCTAGACCAAGAGCTCCCTCAGGGCGGGGCCTGTGTCACATGGGGTCTCCCAGCCCATCGCTCTGCCCAGGAGCCACAACTGAGGCAAGGTGTCGGGAAGGAAACACCAAGAAGTAAATCACAGAAAATAGGAAGGGGGTAGGCAAAGGAAGGAGGGAGAGAGGCCAGAGGGAGGAAGAGGGCATGTCTGAAGGGTCCTCAGCCACCCCAAGGAGCAGTGGGAACTGGGTGGGCTGACTGCTCCTAGGGCTGCGGAGGAGAGGGTGCAGAGGCAGACTGCCCTGTCCCCACATAAGCTCGGCTCCAGCAGCCTGGCCCAGTGCAGGGTGGATCCCAGTTGGCAGCTGGGGAAGGTCCCCAGAGGGCGTGACTAGCCGAGTCCACTCCTGCACTGCTGGATGGGATGGGGTCGTCACTTACTCTGTAGGAGAGGGAAAGGATTGGAAATCAGGGGACTTGCAGTTTCTGCAAAAGAGAAACAATTTAGCCAAGTCTCTTCCAAGGTCCTAGGATGCGAACATCATCATTTCTGTTCTAATAACCATGAGCTTGGAGGGACTCTCGGTGGGACCGGACAGCTAGGCTGCTGGAATAGGGGCAGGCTGGGCCTGGAGCACCCCTGGCAGGGCCCTCACATGCACCAGAAAGGACATGTGTGCCAAGAGGCAGCCCACTGGGGACTAGAAGTGGCTTCTAGGTCCTGTTCTGGGGACAGGAGGGTCTGATGCCAAACAGAGAAGCCACCGGTGGGAGCAGGGCAGGGCAGGGCAGGGCAGGGGCAGTGGTTGTATGATTCTACTTTCCCACAGGTCAGGGGCAGAGGCAGCAGCATGGAGGCCTCATGGACTGCACTGTGAGGCCCGCTCCAGCACCTAGCATGTGGACGACCCAGGGCCACAAGCCCCCGCTCCTGAACCTCAGCTTCCTGGTCCAAAGAGTGAAGTGGCAGAGGTGCTGTGGCCCACCGCGCGCGGGGGAGGATGAAAGCAGACAGACACACAAAGCTCTGAACACAAGCGGGCACACAGTAAGCGCTCAATAAATGGTGGATACCAGCGGCAGGACTTCCACACCAACCCCAAGGCGAAAGGTCAGCTCCCAACCCGTGCACAATGTGGGCATCTGGGGTGGGTGCAGTGAGGCTCGGCTGCGAGCTCTGTTCCCTCCTACCATTGTGGCCCAGGCCCATGGGGCCGGGCAAGTCCCGCCAGCCCAGAAGCCCTGCTGGGGGCAGAGGTCAGTGTGCACCCGGGTGTCTCCTGAGAGGTAGATTATGGGAGCACATTTCTAAAGGGGGAGACAGTTTGGGGAAGCCACTGTGTTCTCTATGACTCAAGGGGGTCGGTGCCAGAATCTTTGCCTCCCTAATCACTCAGCCCTGGCCCCATCCCCCCCAGGGCGTCCTCCAGTCTGCAGCCCCTCCGGACAGTCACACCAGCACGGGAACATCGGAGTGTGGGGCTGACCATGCTCACTGACTGCACCGCACACCGGGTTCAGTGCCATCTCCCACATCAGAGACACGTCCCAGTCCACCCGTGGTGGAGCCGGGGTTCAAACCTCAGCTCTAGACTTAAGTGGGACTTCACACTGCCACAGGTAATGCCTGTGCTCCCCACTGTTTCCTGACACCCAACCAGCGCCCAGCACAGGCAGTACCCAACACTGGGGGAATTTAACTTCAACGGTGCAAGGCACATGACTCGGGGCCTTATCTTAGCAGAACGAGGGTGAGAGTTCCCCTGTCAGCCCGCCCTGGTCTTCCCTGTGCAGGCCGCCCGCTGCGCCTACCCCAGCCCTGCTGTCATGCCCAGGGTCATGCTCCGGGAGAGCAGCTCTGCTCTGGGCGCCAAGGCTCTACAAGCAGCCACCAGGGGGCACCAAAACACCACCGAGAGCCCACCTCCTGCAAGAGCCCACTTGAGAGCCAAGTCCTGCAGGACTTGGTAGGGGCAGCGGGCAGGGCGCCTTTGTTTGGACCACCCCTCCCACTGAGGTCCACCCACTGGAGTCTCAAGTGGGACCCGAACTGGAGTTCATAGATCTCTATTGCACCCCCTTGCCTAACTGGTTGGAACCCTCACCTTAAAAATGTAGCAACGGTTCCCTTAGACCTCAACATCTGGGGCTGTGGGACCTGGACCGAGGGGCCTCTCTCCACGGAGATGACAGAGAGGGGCCACAATGCCAGCGGGAGGTCCCTGGAGGAATGGCTAGGCTCTGCTTGTCCCCACCCACAGGCTCCATCCTGCACCAGACCTCAGCGTGGGGTGGGGCACTCACCGCTGGAGTTCTGGGAGCTGCTATTGGTCTCTTCAAAGTGGTTCTGTGCTTTGCCTTCCACTCTCCGGCTGAAAGCGCTTTCTGCTGGTGGGACAGGAGGGAGAGAGGGAACACTGCTGAGTGGTCAGCACTGGTGGGAAGCCTTGGCAGGGCCTTGGGTGAGTGCCAGGATCTGCTGGGAGACTCAGCAGGGGACCTTATGCCTGACTCCCCTGCCAGGCTCCCCTGCGTGGCCCTGACACATTGCCAGGACCCCAACAGACCTACCTGATAGAGCTGGGACGACCGGGCCTCGGGTTCTTCCTGTCCTGGGCTCGTGGGAGCCACACTGGCACCATGTGCCCTCCCCACCTCCACCCCCACCCCCACTGCAACAACCACGATCGTGCAGGGATGGTCCTCCGGTGGCAGGGAGGTCACAGTCAGAGTTCCCCTGGGGCCTCATGGCCTACAAGCTGGCTCATCCCTCTCCAGAAGCCCATGGTGCAGTGCTAGGTAGGGTGTGACAGGGTGGCTGGAAGGTCACCTGGCTTCTCGCCGTGCTCCTGGAGCACTGGGATGGCAGAAAGGGCTCTGCTATAAAAGGCATCAGGGAATGAGGCCAGTCATTTGGGCCGCGCAGCCCCTCCAGCCCCGTCCTGGAGAACGGCTGGCAGGCACATATGAGAGGCTCTGAAACGTTGCACTGGAGAGAGACCCGTTTAGCTTCATGCGACCCAGGCGGTCTCAGATCCTGTTGTTTTGAAAACGTTAGACCCCCTTCTTACCCCATGCAAATGGTGACCCAGGGCACCTGCTTGGGGAAATGCCACTCTCACACACGCCAGCCTCCTCGCCAGAGAGGGGCGTGACGGGAAAGACCCTACAGGGTCCAGCTCAATTCCCCACCTCCAGGGTGGCCTTTCCTGCCCAAGCTGTTGACAGTTTCACAAGGACCCCTCCCTTCAAGAGCTGTCTGTGGAATGCTTGCACCGAGGCGCCCCCCTGCCCGCCTCGGGAAGCTGTCCGTCAACTGACGAAGGGGAGCCTGCAGTTCTTTGCCAGAAGAAAGGGAGGGGGCTCCCCCTTCCCGAGCACCCACAATGCTTCAGGTCCTGGTCCGGGAACTTCTCCCTCAACGCTTCCAAGAGTGCTGTGAGGTCACTGTCAACCCCAGTTCACAGGTGTGTGCGGGGTGGGGCAGGGGTTGTGAGGTTCCTGGGGCCTCTGAGGCGGCAGAAGGAGTCATTACGTGGCAGACACTATCCCTTTCAATAGTTTGGAGCTTAGAAAGAGCCCTCCTCCATCTCCAGAAGTCCCTGTGCACACAGTGGACAGGTCTCCATCTGGAGAGGGTTTTCCACCAGGCTGAGATACAATTCCACACTACTGAGAGGGGCCTGCATGCTGGGATGCCGAGACTTCTGGTGCTCAGCTGGTGAAGCAAATGTCGGGCCGCTGTCCCTGCCCCAGGCACCTCTGGCTAGAAGCCAGCGTGTAGCACTGAGGTGCCCACGCTCGGGCACGGACATATACCAAGAGCTGCTTATTCTAAAGTGACAGGTACAGGGACAACTTCCAGCTGTCACATGTGTCCTGACAATCCCAAGCAGGCTCCTGTGCACAGCCCCCCGCTGGTAAGGCCAGATGCGACCGTACCGCAATTCTTCCAAATCACAGGCAGGCAGTCCTGGGCCTGCCTGGCCCATGGCTTGCTGGAGCACTGAGGTTCAAGAGCCAGCATGTACCCGTGGACGCCCCTGCAGGTGGTGCTGCCCTGTGCAAACTGCAGGCACAAAAGCCTCCCGCTTATGTGCGCCACAAGTAGGAACAGCGTCGAAGGCTGCGATTCCATTGTTCAGTTGAACCCACAGCCACCCCTGAGCCTTCCAGGAATAGCCTGTTTATCATCTGTAGAGACCGTTGCAAAAAAAAATTAAAAAAAAGCATCGGAGACCACTTCTCTCAACAGTGTTTGACTGACAGGCTGGTGAACCAACTGCTCTCCTTTGGAAGCTCTAACCGTCAGCACACACGGGGGGGCTCTAAAAAGTTTGTGGGAAACTGGCTCCTGACTGCCGACTGGGCCCTCTGGGCCACGGAGGGATCTCGGGGTAGCGCTGGGCCTCCCCCTGCTTCATGGACAAGCAGCTCCTGCTGGAACTCAGTGTGCGTCCTGAGCCAGCAAACAGGTGGGTGAGTGGGGCTGCATGACAGGCAGACCACAGCTCAATCCCTGGCAGGACAACTTCCAGGCGGCCTCTGTGCTGAGAGGCAGCAGGGTGCGGTGGGGACTGGGGCCAAATGGACAGCGGGTCCTGTGAAGGGAGCAGCCCTGGAGGAAAGGGGGCCCAGGACCCCCAGATCAGAGTTTTTCCAATGTCAGCTGCACATTTTTAAACTTTGCATGATCCAAATGATGGAAATTAATTTTTTTTATTTAAAAATATTTTGGGGGCCAAATGAAACAGACTTTAGGCTGCAACACTGGGGGCGGGGGGAAGAGTTTCGTGACTTAAAATATAGTTTGCAAATCAAATCACCTTGTGGAACCGTCTGATTGTGGGTGAGGAAGTACAAGTCCCAGGGGCCAGGTGGCTTGCCCCTGCTCCCAGAACCTGGTCATGGAGCTGGGACTCTGGTCTGAGGGGCTTCCGCCCTCGCTCTCGAAGGAAAGATGAGCCTGGGCCCAGCTGCAGCGGGTGGGCAGTGGGGGGAGGTAGCATAAGCCATTGGTACCTGCAGTTGCCTTGCTTGCTGGAGATCCCGAATTTGGCGTGCGGAACGTCTGGGTTTGGGTGGCTGGAGGGGTGCGGTGCAGGAGGGTGGCACATCGGACCACGGAGGCTGGAGCTTTTTTCCCCGGCTGGTTCGTCTGGGTCTTCGCTGCCACAAAGCGTGGTGATGGGGAGACCTCTGGATGTGAGCACTCAGAACCCGTGTCTGGATCTTCCGGCGGCTCCCACCCGGGGGCAGTACCTGCGAGGGTCACGCTCTCAGTCCTCGTGGACCCTCGGAGAGACAGTGGGTGGGCTATCGTGCCCAAGGGCCAGGATTGATTCCACCAGGCCTCTTCTGAGCCCAGAGAGCAAGGACCGTCTCAGCCCCACCCAGAGCCCGAGCGTCCCAGATCCTTCCCTAACTCCTCCTCGCGGGAAGCTCGTCAGCACTAGCAGGAGGTGGTCTGCCGCCCGCTGCCAGAGCCACCCACCACCTGGACCAGCCGGTCGCTAGGTCGCTAACCTCTGAAGCCATCTGACCGATTTAACCCAAGGCCACATGTATTTCCCGGCATGCTGGCTCCCATGTTTCTTTTCCTTCAAAGGAAGGCTTGTTTGGAAGCGGAAGGAGAGAAAGCACACAGGCAGGGGCATTCTGGGTTGAGAGGGTGGAGGTAGGGGAAGGCAGAGTTGCCCAACATTGTCCTTGAGGTGTTAGGGGAGGGGGACTTGGGAACTCTCTGGCTGCCTTGGGGGGCAGGCAGTGCGTAGCCCAATGGCTAACTAACAAGTCAGCCTCTCCAATCCTTTACACTCTTCTCGCCCCCTCTAGGCCTTAGCTAGCTCAAACCCACCGCCTGACCAAAGTAGGGCCACTACCCTGTGCATCACCAACCCCTCGAGGATTTTGTGAGAATGCAAAAAAACCTGCAAAGATCTTGGGTGGAAACAGTCATTCAAATAAAAGCAGCTGCTATTGATTTTGATTTTTTGTATTAAGGGACAAAGGAACCAGGGCCCAGAATGACTGACAAACTTGCTGACAGACACGCAGAAAGTGAGTGAGTGCCAGGGAGGGAGGGAGCCACAGCTGTTGGCTGCTGCTGAAGGTCTTTGCCTGCGACCACGTGGACCCCATGCCATGCCCTGGACCTGGGCACAGGGGACACACAATTTCAGGGCAACCAGCTTTCTTTGCTGGTCCCCAGTCTCTGCACCTGCAGAACAGCTTCTAGGATGCCCCCCACCCCAAGATCAGACATCTTGAGAGTCAATGGTTCCAGGTAGTACGGGGAGCTCAAGGGCCCCCACGGTGCCTGCTGCCCTGCCCACCCTCCTTCCAGGCCTCCCCCCTTCATCTTCCCATCCACAGCAGACAAAGTCCTTTCTCTTTCCAGCTGGGAGGCCTCTGCCCACACTAGTCTCTGACGGCCTGGAATGCTCTTCTCTCTAGGGTTGGCCTGGACAACCTCTGCTGGCCTCCCTTAGAAACGAGTCCCATTAGTGCAGCCAACCCTGACCTCCTCAGGGAAGCCCTCAACTCCCAAAGCTGGCTGCCACTGAAATGACACCGATAATAATGATGACACTAGAGTTGTCTTCTGGCCAGTGCCTCTTCCCCGGTTAACCTGCATGACCCTGGAGGACAGGGGTCCTGCAGGGTGAGTTCACTGGCACACTCGGCTGTTGGCACATTCTCTGAGACATCACGGAATTGTCGCATCAGTGAGACAGTAAGTGAACGGTCAGGAGAGTCAAACTCAGAAATGCTCAAGTAGCACAAACACCTAAAACAAAGGTATGCTGTCCAAGGGCAGCACTTGCAGGCTATGAGTCTGTCATGCCTGTTCCCCTCCCTTCAGCACAAGGGCAGAGATGGCTGAAACAAACACAGTGGTAAGAGAATGCCACCCCAAGGTGGTGGTGCTGAGCCAGACTGAATGTGCACCCTGAGAACACTAGCACACACTGGTGAAACGGTGAGGGGGTGGGTGGGTAGAGTAGAGTTTCCGACAGTCCAGTGAGCAGTCCGTGTAAGAAGCATGCTGAGATACTTAAACATACGGGATGTTTAACAGATAGGAGAGCACCATGCTGCTCACCAGAGGCTGTAAGGATTTGAGGAGAAGGGCCAGGCAGTTGAGAGGAGGAGAGGGCAAGTCCTCCTTAAACCTTTTACTAGGCGCTCACCCACTCACTGCCATCGACTCACGGCGGCCCTATAGGACTGCAGGAGAAAGCCTGTCTTTCTCCCACTGAGCAGCTGGTAGCTTCCAACTGCTGGCCTTGTAGTCAGCAGCCCCACGCATAAGCACCCCGCCACCAGGTGCTGGGTGTGAGAAGGGGCTCCAGACAAAGGCAATAGTGGCTCTGAGGCTGGGCTGCAGTGAGCAGGAGGGACAGATGCAGAAGGATCCCCATGGGGAAAGCTTCCCGATGGGGAGTTTCGGCTGTAAAGAGAGAACATGGCCGTGATGGAGTAGCTCAGTGGGAGAGGTCGAGCCCTCCTGCTGCATTCATCAGGGAAACTGGAAAAAACAGACGCAACAACTGTTTTCAGGGCTGGGGCACTAAGTAGGTGGCCATAGGACTGATTCAGATGAGAAGAGAAACCTGGGTTGCCCGGTCCCCTGGGGATATTAGCCTGGAGAGGTCCCGGACCGCAGTGCAGAGAGGGTGGGCCCAACAAAGCAGAACACGCTTGCTGGGCTGAGACCAGGAACAGAATCCAGGGTAGCAGCCCCAAGCTCGCTGCCCTCCAGTCAACGCTGAATCAGAGCGACCCCTGTCGGTTTTGCCACCCCTGTGGGTTTTGGAGACTGTAACTGTTTGTGGGGGTGGAAAGCCCAGTCTTTCTCCAGATGAGCTGCTGACCATGCGGATCGCAGCCCAACACATAACCACTACACCACCAGGGCTCCAGATGTGCCTCCAGTTTGGCAAATGAAGAGCAAGGAGGAATTCCACGAAGGTGCAGGGGGTAGGCTGGCAAACCCTGGGAGAAAACAGCTACTGAAGGGCTTGGGACATGCAGGGCTGGGAAGTTTCTACCTGCAGAGGGCACAGACCTTGCCAAGTAGCTCAGGTGGTCAGGTGAGAGCCAGAAAAGCCGTGCCCCCAAATCCAGACCTGCCCTAACAAAGTTTTTTAATATAAGGATGTGAAGTGCCTCTCGGGCCTGTAAGCAAATTACTGCCATCCACCCAAACAAAAACCAACACGGAAGAGAACGAACGGAGGATTCTCTAACAACAGGAATCCACGGAGCACCCATGACCCCTCAGCCACAGCAGGGCGCTGGTGATCACCAACACACACCCAGCAAGGGCAGGGTGAGCAGATCCCCAAACAGAGACCTGGAAACAGCGGTTACCTAGGCCCAGCAAGTCCTAAGGGGAACATTAATATGTTGAAGAGAAACAGAACCAAATGGAGCTTTGAGGGATTGAGAGAGAGAGAGAGAAAGCTAAAATAAAGCATTTGCCTGGTGGGGTGAAAGCAGATTAGATGCTGAAGGAAAACACGTGAGCTTGTAAACAAGGTGATAGAAACGATCCAAAATGAAGCACAGGATGAAAATTAATAGATAAATAAGTAAGAGTGTATCAATGGGCCTGTGGATATCAAACAGTCTTCCATACATATCATTAAAGTTGTGTTAATAGAAGACATGGAAGAGAGTGGGAGAGAAAATCTTTGCACAGAAATATTGGCTAAAATTTGCCCAAGCATGATGACTATAACCCCACTGGATCTAAGCAACTCAGTGGATCTGGAGCAGGATAAATATATCACTCACTCACTCACACACACACACACACACACACACACACACACACACACACACGATCAAATGCTGAAAATCAGCGATGATGAGAAATACCTTACATGCAGCCAGAAAAAAAAAAGCCATTGAATGTAGGTAAATAACAATTGGAATGTTCAGAAACAACACAAGATTAAATGAATGACACTTTAAATAAAGTGCTAAAAATTAAAATCAACCTCCTTCTAAAAATGACGGTGAAATAAAAACCTTTCAGCAGAGATTCAGCGACAGACCAGCAACATGAGAAATGCTACAGAAGGTCTTCCAGATTTGAAACAACAGCAACAAAGGCAGTACGGGGAACTCAGATGTACACGAGGGAAGTAAAGCACAGCAAGTGGGAACTACATGGTCAACATCAGGAAACGGTCTTGGTCTTACGCTCCGCATGCTCACTGCCCCGGAGCTGAATGACTGCTGGAGAGCAGGGACCAGAGGGCTTACGAGGTTCTCTGCGGCTGTCAATCTTTACAAGAGCAAATAGCCTCATCTTTCTACTTCACCGTTCAAAGAGAGAGAGTGATTGTTGGGTTCACAGCGTGTGTGTGTGTGTGTGTGTGTGTGTGTGTGTGTGTGTAAGGATAGTTTGAGGAACAAGAGGATAGTCAATGGAAGCATGTTTGTGGTAAGGTTCTTATACTTGATATATATGATGTGAATTCATGGTGGATTCTGTTAAGTTATACACCACACAGCAACTATGACAAAATCACAATTTTATTAGCTAGAAAGCTAATAGATTAAAAAACTTGACAAATACACAGAATGGCAAGAAAAGAGGAAGCAAAGGAACTCCAGGACTCAATGGGATTAACAGAAAAAATTTGGTCAAGATGGTAAAGAACGCAATCTATTAATGAATCACGTCAAGTACGAAGGGGCTTCAAAAAGTCCACGGACAAACGGAATGAAGAGATCTTGGGATCTTCCCATAAGTCTTTTGACGCTCCCTCATATAAATAAACTAAACACTTTAATGAAAAGACGGAGACTGTCAGGTTCGATAAAGAACAAGAAGCAATTGTATGTGCAGACGTTACATATAAAGACAGATCGACTGTTTATAAGGGATGACAAGATACAGATTGTGCAAACATTCATCATAAGAAAGCTGGGATGGCTATCACAGAAAGTAGAATCTAAGACAAGAGTTGTTACTGGAAATAAATAAGGGATTTAGACAATTAAAAGAGGGTCAATTCATCAAGACATAATTATTCTAAGTGTGTAGCCTTAAGAACACAGCTTCAACGCACACGAGACAACTAGCAGAGGTAAAAGGAAAAACAGGCAAATGCACAACCAGAGTTACAGACTTCAGCCTTTCTCTTTCAGTACTTTAGAGAACACAAACCCACTGCCCCTGAGCCGGCAATTCCTTGCCACTTACTGGCAGCGCAGCTAGGCACTTCAACCTCTGCACCACCAGA